AATCCATTTGACTACAAAACCAAGCTACAGACGTGGGACCCACCTGATGTGTGTACGAAACACAGGCTTAACATAAACCCTTGAATATGACTAACAAAAATTTGATGATGGGATGGAGAAAGTACGCAAATAAGTAGATTGTCACATACGGATACAGATACAGATAAAATAATAGACTCGAAACAAAGTTTAAATTCGCTAATAGTTAAGCAATGACCCATATTTAATAACGAATGCAGGTTGACGTCACACCAAAGTAAGATATGAGACTTGAATGCCCTATTCAATTTTCATGTTTCTTGATTGCGTAAGCATGACAAGTTATATATGCATTAAATTGTTTGTCTTTCTACCCCTTTTTATGAGGAACTTACATGTCCTAAGATTAAAATGGATCCTTTTCTTCACTGTTATTGAAAGCTAAAAATCAATGGATGAGGGACCAATACGAAATCAATCACATGACGTAATCATTTTTTTAGTAAATGATCATCGCACTTTTTTTTTCTTTTTCTAAACCACTTAAATTGTAGGAGCGATTTGATATAAATGGACATTAACGATTTATTTAACGAAAAGGAAGAACAAACTTGGGTTGTAAAGTTAGACCTTTAACATATGAACACGATCTAACCACCTATAGATGACTTCTAGCAAATCATTACTATGGCTAGAAATTTTAGTATGAGAGGTCTATTATACCGATTTATTAGAAAACAAAAGAACAAAATTGTGTCTCTCTCATACGACTGAGGGTGTTACGAGTTCAGATAGGGACTTACACAACCTCAAGATAATTAGTTAGCCAAACTAATGTCTAGAGATTATTAAGAACTTTTGATGTTAATTAAGCACACAAAAGAAATGATCGCTAACCATGGGATGCTAAGAATATGAAAAATAGACAACGTCAACAAAAGTTCATCTTCAATACAATGTGTATGGTTATGTCTATCTAGCGAGATAGTAGTTATTGTCAAGTGACTGTCTAGATGTAAGGTCCATTCAGAAGGACTTTCGAAAAACCAAAAGTTTCTTGTAAGAATAAAAAATTGTTTGTGAAATATGACGAAATAATTTTCTGAAAGCATTTTGTCTAGGTAGAGTTTTTAGACGAATGTGACGTGGAGTCCCGTCAAATGGGCCATGGAGTCTTTTTTAGATAGAGTGAATTACCATAACTTAATATTTATTTCTCTTATCTTTTCTCACCCTTGTTTAATTATTATTAATATTTTTCTCTCTTATGAAATCCTATTTGACCCCTATTTTTGGGAAAAATGTATTTTGGAATTATAATTTTTTGAAAAATGTATGATTAAAAAATAAGGAAAATTTTTTGGATTATGCATAAAATTATTTTATGGTAAAATGTGTGGTAGAAAACGAGTTTTGAAAAAAAATTAGGGGCTGTTTTATTTGCTATTTTCAGACCGTTTTCTACTTTCGATTTTTTCAAAACAGTGAAAATGCATTATCTTTCCCATTTTTGAAAAAAAAAGAAAAAAGAATTCTATTGAAAACTCAAAACGTCTTTTTAGACGTTTTGAACATTTTCTTCTCAAAACACGCGACTGAATGAAAATAGCCTCTTTTTCCATTTTTCCCAAAATTCTTCCTCTTTCTTGAGCTACCGATCTGCCGTCTCCTTCCATCAATAACTTCCGCAACCTAAGCCGTCGAACCCCCCACACCATCGGCACCCCCTCATCTATCTTTACAACCTCCGACCATCGCATGCCCACCAGACCGCCGGAAACAGCTCCAATCCCCATCCAAAACCTCGAGTGCAGTCACGATTTTTCCCCAATTACTTTCACATCCGGCCACCATCTCGATCGTGGAGCATCACCACAACATTTCTCTCAACTAGGCGCATCTANGCACCACCACAACATTTCTCTCAACCAGGCGCATCTAGTTCTACCATGGGTCAGCCTCAATTTCGTCTAGAATCAACTGAGATTGTTGGAGCAGTCTGTGATATTTGTGAAATCATTTTTTCAGTCAGAAAACCAATTATATCATGCAAGTGTTGCTGTGAATTTATCGTGTTCATTTTTAATATTATGATTCCATGTGTTAATTATGTATTCATGAATTTCCAGTAAATCTTTTAGTTGTGAGAATGGGATGTATGCAAATGTTAGAATGCTTCAAAGGGCAGTAGTGTGTCTTGGTATGTTGGCCCCGAGAAAATTCATGCAAAAGAGGAAGAAAGTAGAGGTTTTCAAGGATGCTGAGGATGAAATTGAGCAGAAGAAATGGAGAAAAGTAATGAATGAAATAGAGGAAGCAGATTCTGCTGTTTTGGTGCTCAAGAGCCGGAGGGCCAAGCATCAGTCTCTCCCCAAAGACCTGGTTGTCGGAACCCTGTTTTGAAACTAGCATTGATAATATCAATAATCTTGGACCAAGATGTTGATGTAAAAGCATTGTTGACATAGTTACATGAAGCTGTAAAAACATTCGCGGGGGAGCTGTAAAACTATGTTGCGGATAAATTCTAATGGATCAAAAACAATACCTAGAACTCAAAAACTCCTTAGTTATCTAATCTCGAGTGTTGAAGCTATAAAGTTTAGTATAAATATTATCAATTGTTTCTTTATCTAGAGTTGAATAAAGCTATCTGCATGGTATTCCAGAGAGGACTTGGATTGAATATGTAATTGCTATGAGCCTATGGATTTTGGTTTTGCTCATTTTAGTTTAATCTTGCTCTCTAACGGGGGGACTTGTATTTGTGCAGGAACCAAATCATGAGGAACCTCTCAATCCCGATGCAGCTGCAGTGTTGAGGGATAACCCGAAGATGTTTGAATCCAATGTGCAATGGCTTGTGGCTATGTGATTAGTGCTCCCCTTTTTTGCAACTTGATTAGGTTTGGTTGT